CATTAGCACCTCTAGTAATATATTTACTGAGAAAAATGGTGACGTGTTCAATACTTATTTTACCCGCTGTAAAGAGCTCCTCTCCATCTGTTTCAGGTTAGTGGAAATCATTCAGTAAACTGTCCCGTCAAGAAATCTGTCACTACGTCACACAGTGGAGTCTCTCTGATTGGTTGACGTCGAGCTGCAAAAGTTCAGATTTTCCAACTTCAGCGATTTGCGCTTCAAGCGCGTAGAATGCTCAAATTGTTCAAATCGTTCAAAGCACGCCGCTCTAATCATGCTTGATGCACGTCCACCATAGACATTACATGTAAACCTGATGCTCCTGATGCTGAAATTGCTTTTGGTGTGAACGCACCATAAAACGCGCGACAGTGGGTTGCTGATTGCGCAATTTCAGCGCATCTTTTCCTGACTGAGCATAAACAGGCTGAAGACGCAGTGGGCCATAAATTATCATAAATCCTCCCTCTGCCCTCCCACAGTTCATATAAAGAATATAAACTAATGATGGCTGGATAGTGTTTTTTTCCAGTCAACATCACCGTTAAGTTGAGGAAAGTAGAGCTCTTCTTTTTTTGTTGTTAACAGTGGACAGGGGAAAAAAAAGATGCGGCCAGCTGTGCGCTCACATTAACCCTTGGGACCTGGATCAAACCAGCTGCTCTTTGAGCTCTTTTTAAAACTGGCTTCTGACAAAAAAAATAATTTTAAACAAAATAACATGCAGAAGCTCCAACTCCTCGGCGCTGCCACAGCTGTGGCCTGCCGCGGTGCTCCTGATGAACAAACACACCCACAAACTCTACCTATCACACTGAGAGTTGCAACGTCCCGTCAGCACAGTTAAGGTGCTTTATTGGTCATCAGTGTGTGTTTCCACACAATGACGAAATTTGTGCTCTGCATTTGACCCATCCACACCCAAGTGGAGCAGCGGGCAGCCATGTGAGGTGCCCAGGGAGCAGTTAGGGTTAGGTGTCTTGCTCAAGGACACCACGACATGTGGGCATGACGGGGAGTTGCACCTAAGACCTTCGGGTCCCAAGCCGGCTGCTCTACCACTACACCACAGCCACCCCGACAGTTGTAATACTGACAGTTCTGACTGGGGGCAATGCACAAGACGGCTGTCACCGGGGGATAGTAGAGGAAGAGCAGACAGAAGTTGCACATTTTTTGTCACTCAGCGGGGGGGAAAGATGTGTGACTTGAAGTATAAACCAGGCTTAAGTTAAGACATTTTATAGGGTCCAACTAAACCAAACTGTGTCCTAAATGGGATTCAAACTCAGTCACTGGTTTTGGAGGCAGGGAAAATTATCCTAATTTTTGTCTTTTTTCCAGGTGGAAAAACTCCTTCCTACTCAGTCTTGTTTTCGGCCTGCCCGCCATGGGCCTCATGATCTACATGATGGTGATGGACAGCCAGCATGGAGAACATGGAGGATCTATGCCTGTGGAGCAGAACATCCTGCCGGGCCTCTCTCTTATCAACCTGGCTTTTTTCCTGCTCTGTACACCTGTGCAGGTAGAAAAGAGCATCTGTGATTTTACTGTCAGAATGATAATACCTTTATTATCTCCCTCTGCAATGTCTATGTTCATTCGTTTGACAGTTACCAGAATATCTCATTGGAATAATTTTATTGACGCTCTCATAAGGCAATCATTGGATAGGGCTCTGCTACCTCTTACATGTTTCCTAAAGTTTCTTCCGTCTGCCTTTAAGATCTTTGGAGGATGGTATTTCTACATTCAGGCGTATCGTTCGTTAAAACACTGCACCGCCAACATGGATGTCCTGATTGTATTGGCCACCTCCATCGCCTACATCTACTCCTGCATAGTCGTCATCGTTGCCATGGTAGAGCGAGCTGACCAGAGTCCAGTTACATTTTTTGAAACGCCACCTATGCTTTTTGTTTTCATCGCTCTGGGCCGATGGCTGGAACACATTGCAAAGGTAGGGTTTATTTGTCGCACTGTGGTGCCCAAGTTGTTCTTCTGTATTTGGACTTGGAATTATTCAGATTTAAGTTGTTTTCAACTTTCTCCTGGAAATATTTCTTCAATATTAATACAGCTTGAAGGAAGGAAATTTATCAGATGTGGTGTTTTATGTGTTTCAGCCAAGATATTAAAACCAAACATCAGTAAAATGTGTAATAAATCAATTCTGAAGCAAGGTGGGAACAATTATTCTAGCAGAAATATTGTAATCCTCCAGCAGGGAGTGCCACAGGCTGCAGCAAAGGGTAGCAATCTAAAGTATTGTTTCCTAAAGGCTGTAATGTCATGGTTATGCATAAAGATTCAATAATCGGGGAAAGAATGATCATAGAAATGAAGAAGAATAAACTTTTAGGGGTGATGAACGAGCCCACCCAGGTGTTCACTTGATGTCAAACTTTAATTTTGTGAGAATAAATTAGATACGATAGAGAGACTTTATTGTCTTTATATGACAACATTTGCAGACGCTCTTCTTAAGATGAGGCGTTTTTAAACCTAAATGGTGGGGGATTGTAATTGTATGCCTAAGTCATGGTTCAGTATTTATCTTGATATGAGGGTCATGCTGTACAAGACAAATAATCCAAGGCCAAATGGTACTATTTTTTATTTTTACAAACAACTGTCGCAGAAGGAGAGACAAAAATAACTAACCAAATCACCATCTTTTAACCTACAGTATACTAAGGCTCGATTCATTTGCACCAAAATATTTAGCTATTTGTAGAACTAATGTCAACATAGCATCACACTAAACCCTTCCATAAATTAACAGCTTTTTTAACAGCGATAAAATAATTAAAAAAACATCTTGTTTCCATTCCAGCTGAGCACTAATTAGTCCGTAAAGCCTTACAGTCTGGAACTATCTTCAGTCTTAACTTTTTTAAAGGGATCCACGATTATTTTTAACATTAAACTTTATTTGATAAACATTTATTTTAACTGTAAAATAAAGACTAAAAATACTGTAGGCTGTTTAGTTTTGTAAATTATTTAAAATATATTTTAATACGGACAGAGCCATTTTATTTACACACAAAGCATTCTGGGTAAATGATGACATGGATAGGTCCTCAGTGTGAGTGAGCTATATCCACCCTGAAGGTTAATCTTGTACAATATCTGATGATCGACTCTTTTAAATGAAACCAGAGAGCGTTGACAGAGAGGAGAAGGTAGAAATGACTCAGCCTGGAACTGAAAATATGGATGGAGGACAACAGAGCTGCTTCATGGAAGAAGAACCTCAGCTTAGTCTGTTAGTCTTCACGCTAGTGCTGAATTGCCTTATTCAAATTCAATTCAAATTCAGAAATACTTTATTGATCCTAGAGGGAAATTAGGTAAATATATGTATTAGCTCGGTGCTAGCGCAAACAAGCTAAACTGAGGTCCTCCATCCATATTTTCAGTTCCAGGCTGAGTCATTTCTACCTTCTCCTCTCTGTCAACGCTCTCTGGTTTCATTTAAAAGAGTCGATCATCAGATATTGTCCAAGATTAACCTTCAGGGTGGATATAGCTCGCTAGCAGCCTCGCACCAATGACCTAGTTGATGTCATCATTTACCCAGAATGCTTTGCGTGTAAATAAAATGGCCCCGTCCGTGTAATATATTTTTAAACTTTTAGTTTAAAAAGGATAAAAACTGAACAGCCTACAGTATTTTTACAGTCTTTATTTCACAGTTAAAGTATATGTTTATCAAATAAAGTCTAATGTTACAACTAATCAGGGATCCCTTTAAATTCTCTCGTCCTTTTGCTGTAATCAAGCAACATTTTCTTACATGGATGAGTGTAAGTTCACAAGAAGTGAACAATAAATAAAAGCCCTGTAATACAAGAAGAAAGTAGCAAAACAAACGTTAGACTGTGATGCCTTTTTGGGGCAGGTGTTCGCTTCTAGTAGTTCTTTTGAATCGACAATGTGCTATGTTATGTAGCGTGTTAAGGGGGTCGTTCACAATGGTCAATATTTCACAAGCATACAAAACGTATTCTTTCTGGAGACTTTTTTTCTTTATTTTAAGCGTAAAACCTCAGAGGCTTTGGCCAAACTTGTGTCTTTACAAGCCACCGATGCCACCATTGTCACTTTGGGACTCAACCACTCCATCGTCAGGTACAACAAAACAACTTAATATCTGCAGAGCAGCAATGTCACAATGTAACTCTGAATGTGTTTGTGACACTCAGGGAGGAGCAGGTGGTGGTGGAGTTAGTCCAGCGGGGCGACATCGTTAAAGTTGGCCCAGGAGGAAAGTTTCCCGTGGATGGAAAGGTGATTGAGGGAAGCTCCATGGCAGACGAGTCCCTGATCACAGGTAGCTGAAAGAAAGACGCTTCAAGGTTGTTGGTCAAGTTGTTGTTGAGATGTTTATTTCTCTTTATAAGGCGAGCCGATGCCTGTTAGGAAGAAGGTGGGCAGTTTGGTGATTGCAGGCTCCATTAATGCTCACGGTGCTCTTCTGGTGGAGGCCACTCACGTTGGTCCTGAAACCACTCTGTCTCAGATAGTTAAGCTGGTGGAGGAAGCACAAACTTCAAAAGTAAGAAGAGGTTTTGGCTTATAAATCAATAAATACCCTGAACTGTGTGAAACCTATTGCTCATTTTCACTCAGGCTCCCATTCAGCAGTTTGCAGACAAGCTCAGCGGATACTTCGTCCCCTTCATTGTTCTGGTTTCTCTTCTGACCCTGTTGGCCTGGTTGGCCGTGGGGTTTGTTGACTTTGACGTTGTGAAGGAGAACTTCCCGGTAGGTCGTGTCTGACAAACATCTTCAGAGTAAGCAGCTCTCACAAACCTCTGACTCTCAGCCTTATTGCAGGGATACAACCAGAACATCACCAAGGCTGAAGTCATCGTCCGCTTTGCCTTCCAGGCTTCCATCACCGTCCTGGCCATTGCCTGCCCCTGCTCTTTGGGGCTGGCAACCCCTACAGCTGTGATGGTGGGCACAGGAGTTGGAGCGCAGAATGGGATTCTGATTAAAGGAGGCGAGCCGCTGGAGATGGCACACAAGGCAAATCACTTTACGTCCTTATCTTTATCTGATGGGAGGATTAATCGAAATAAATACTCAAATTGTAAAATAAAGGAATAGAGACATTTTACTTATTTCCTTCTCGTTGTGGACAAATTCTGCTTTTAATTTGACCTAAATTTTATTTTTCTTGATACATGATTTTTTTTGTTTACTAATCACCTTCAAAAAGTTGAATAATACTTAAACACTCTGATGCATGTAACTTTTTCACAGGTAGAGAAACAAAAAGCCAGCATACATGCACAGTATACATGGTTATGCATACAGTTTTCATGGTTTCTCTGATACTAATCTTAACCCTCCTGCTTTGCTTGGGTCAAAAAGACCCACAAGACCTCAGTTTTAACCTGCTAACTTGCAGGCCTAACCCTAACCCATGCGTGCATGCACAGAAGATGACGGGACATCCCATTCAACACTCTGTTTACAGAAATAAATATGGATTCTACGCGTTGGCATTTATTAATTCTGAAGTTGTGCAACTAGAGCCAATTGAATAATTATCTGACATGCTTGTCTTGTCCATTGTTTACATTTGAACCTGTCTCTAGCCTGCTCCTCCAGAGCAAAATTTTATTTTTGGTACGGGAGCAACATGCTGAAAGAAAACTAACTTCAGTATTGATACAGCCCGACACTGATGTTAGTATCATGTGTTGTGGATTCTCAGTCATGAGCAGTGGTGGGCACAGTTCCCTAAAGCACTAAAGCACTAGTAGGGGAACTAATTTCCTGATAAGTGCTTTAGGGCTTTTGCTAATTTTAAAATTTAAAAGTGGATTAGCACTTGCTAAATTTATAAGCTAAATTTAGAAGCACTAACTGAGGTTTATAAATGTTATTGATCAACTTTAATGTTAACTGCTGAGGGTGAAAGCTGTCTCACATTTTGTTCATATGTGTGTCACTTATCCACCAGGTGACAATATACAGTGGTTTGCAAAAGTATTCATACCCCTTGAACTTTTCCATATTTTGTCACATTACAACCACAAACATAAATATATTTCACTGGAATTTAA